GTGCAAAACAAGCTGTTTGTGGAGGATGATCTGCTAAAGTATTCACGACCATCAATCTCATTAGACATTTGTGTCTTCACCAAGAGGAGCACGAGAAACATGACCGTCTGAGTTTCTTTGTGCTCTGTGCATAAGTGTTGGGAATGAGTGGTTTTTAGTACAGCTGCGCGAATTTTGGAAGACTATAGGAACTGACTCTTTCCCAACAACACAGAGATGCTTGTATTTGTTTAAAAAAAAATAAAAATCTACCTTAGTTTCTTGGAAAAGCATTGGGCTGTCCCCATGAGCCGTTTTTTTGTGGTAGTAAGTGGTTACTGTCCTTTTGTTAAAACATACTGTATATTTTAACCGATTTGAGATTCATTCTCAAAGCAAGCCTCTTAATTTTGTTTTCTAGTTTTTCCAGTTTTTTCACTGATTCCAGTGATCAGTAAAACACCCTGGCTGGAGCATCTGGAGATAATTGGAAAGGTTTTAAATCTGATAAAACTAGTTCAGCACTTTTACCAATAGTATTCAGGCCCGTCAGTCCAATGACCATCACCAGACAACCTTCTGCAAGAAAGGCAAACTGTTCCAGGTCTACTGTGAGAAGGCTGACTGATGTGCTGAAGCGAAACTCAGATACACCAGAGAGCTAAATCCTGGTATCACTGCAACATCCCCTCACCGTCTTTGGGGAAACCCAAGGTTAAAGGGCCTTAGACGTGGGGGAGATAAAAGGTCTCTAGTTACCAGCTGCTTTGGCACACAATGGACCTTTACTGTATCTGACAGAACTTCCAATCTACCTAAAATAATCTTTCATCTGTAAGGCCACTATGTGACCTTCAGTGGTCTGTGGGGAGGCCTTGCCACAAACCCAGGCCCTCAACCTCCCGGATACTGTCATCCTGAAGCCTCACTGACGTAACCAGGCTCATCTGCATGTGGCATAACACAGGCGGCAAGGAAGGTTTCCCCTGACATCCGCTAGGATATACATACATATTTCCCCCAACTCTGCCAGTGCTTCAAAGCTCATTTAGTACTGTGACCAGCTTTACTCATCACCAAAACATGCGACTGATCCGTAGGATCCCCCTTCCATTGCTGCTGACATGCCACAGTGGGGATGGTTCCTGTGCCAAGGCTGAGGCGGCCAGATGAACAGCAGCACTGCATTCTTTTCACATCCGAACTCCCCATTCTGCCTGGCGGCAGTCTCTCCCACGCCCGGTCCCACACGAGCGGCCCACGCCCGCGGCGGGTCCCACACGAGCGGCCCACGCCCGCGGCGGGTCCCACACGAGCGGCCCACGCCCGCGGCCGGTCCCAAACACGGCCCACACCTGCATAGGTTTCTGTTTGCAAGAGCTCAAGGACACCTGGGGGCTTCACTCTGATTTTAATTTCACAAATGGCTTATTAATGTTTATTCCTTTAGCGATACATGAAATCCTATGCTTATACAGACCCAAAACTGTGCCCATCATGCACACAAACATACTGCCACATACACCAGCTCGCTCCAAGGAGCAATAAATGGTACCAGACTCCTTTCATTGCAGTAAGGGTCGATGGGAACCAGTGAGTTATTGTGCCAATCCGTATCAAATACGGATTTGTTTACTTCAGTTTAGAAAAGCCTCAGAGATCAAATTGCATGTAATTGCTTGACTGTTGCTTTTACCAGAAGGAGAAAAGTGTAAGGTTTTGTTTTGCCCTTTCATAACGGTGGCTCTCTTACGGGAGTAATTCAGGTATCTTGATCAAGGATACTGCAACTAGGCTCCTCCTGTCAATTAAGCCAGCAACCTTCAGGAAGTCCTTCACCGTTATGCCCCCTGCTAACAGTCATTAATTTTGCAAATGAAAGACTGATGTTTGTTGAAACAACTTTCGCTTCGAACTTCATCTTAAAACAAACCCCAAACAAAGCTCGATTCCTGGTTTAATTCATTTCACTTCCTTAGAATGCGGCAAAGCTGCCAGAATACCTGGGTGTGATATCACAAAATTCAAGCAAAAGTCTGTGGCTCAGTGGCTTAAGTCTCGCGGCCTATGAACAGAAGGTTGCTAGTTTGAGCCCTGGCCTCAGCAGAATAGTCCCATCAGTGGACCACTAAGCAAGGCCCCTAACCCCCAGCTGTATGTTGGCTTCCTTTCATTGCCAAGTGTGCTATTACCTACATCTCTGTCATGGAGAGCAAGACAAGGTAGGTGAGAAGAGGAATTTCCTCAGAGTAATCAATGAAGCGTGACCGTTATTCCGAACACCAAATCAGCTTTCTCTTAAAACTCAAACGTGATATACTGCATTCATAGCATTGAGAATAATGTGGTAATATAAACAATGAACAGTAACAAGCAAGAAATCAAACCAGTTGAGTCCAACTGAGTCCTGTCTCCGCTCTGTTCTCATCCTCAATGACGGACCATGTGACTATTTTTTTTTTGTAGTCGTCATTTACACACAATTTGTAATGAATATATGTGCAGCGTATAATCAACCTGGGGTCCGTTTGCACCGGTGGGTTTTTCATGTCGGTTCAGGGTCATCAAGCTTGCGAACACACACCGTGATAGTTCCCCTTACAACCTATGGAGGGTGGAGCTACAAGCCAGGACAATGGAGTTCTGTGTCCCTAGTACCATCCGATATAGAACACACTCCAAATGGGGCAGCCTTATTCTGTCCAGATCGCCCGTGCCCTGAACTTATCTACAGCCCCCCCAAACTCTTAACATAGTACGCTCAAGATTAAATAGCATTTCGGCCTTAAATGAAGAATTGATTACCGTCCTAATCTTGGTCTGTTCACAACATCATGGATAAGGATGATCTCGTAGGGGAACTTCGTACATCGCGTATATACCTTTACATTTTATTTTATGTTATAGAATTTCTACATATCTAAACGCATAAAACGCAGGCTGTCAGTGTTGTGTGGTTACAGACTCGTAAAATCCAGTCGTGCAGAAAACGCTTTCCGCACGTATTGGGCACCATGTCACAGGCACTAAGAAATCGTTGTTAATAATCAGAATAAACTGTGGACTTAACGCAACAATCAATTTTACCACAAGCTGTGACATGTGCGACATCTGTGAGCCCAAGGTGAAGAGAACGCAGCTATTAGAGATGATGCATTGCCAATTAAAGGCTTCATTTATTAAAAGGTTTTTCACAGATTGCTTAACAGCTAATGCACCGACACCAACGCCTGCCAGTCCCAAAATCGCTTCTGTCTTAGCGATTACCTTTCAGCACGGTGGCGCTGGCACAAACGACATTATTAGGCGTTTGAGACACCAGGGGGATATACGGTGCGTGTACGCAGGCTACGTGCGTCAGTGTTAAGGACTGCAGCTGTGGAACAAAAAAGAAAGTTCATGTAACCAAATTGCCCTAAACGCAGTATGCAAAATAAAGTTCGCATAGACTACACATACGACCTCTGTGTATACAGACTGCAGTGGACTGGACTAAATTGTCTCTCTTTTCATTGGCAATCGTTTCTGGACATGAGTGACGGTTTACAGTCTCAATTCAGCTGCACATTTACCGCGCAGGTGGAATGTGATCAGTGTATGATTAAGAAAGTGTTGTACAACACTTCACACAACCTTGAGTTAAAGCTGCGCAATATAATGTTCTATGCAGGTGATTTACCTTCAATAAGGTAACAACGCCTTTGCACCACGTTCTTCTCATGGGAAAAAAGTTCATATTTTAATCCACGTTTGCCAAGTGGAATGCAAGTGCACCCTTGAAAGGAAAAAATAAAGTGCTAAATCTTGCACACCACCTTCATTAATGTTAAAATGAGCAGCTCCCAAACACTCATCGCATTAGTGATGCATTATTTGCTTAGTGAGGCTCGGAGACCAAGCACGACGGTCAGGACGACCCCAGTACGAGCCGCTACCCCCAACATCTCAATTGGCGCGTGCACCCAGGTGCGGCTAGCTGGCGGTGCGACGCCGCTACATCTTAACGCAAGACAATGCGCTGAGATTAAAATGAACAAGTCAAATTTCAGAAACATTTAAAACGCATCTTAAAAGCAGACAACCTCGTCGCTCGCCAAACAACAAAGCGATGCGATTTTAATACTCCCTGTGAGGGGATGTTGAGGAGGGGGCGATTACTGATGCGTGATATTGACCTTACTTATTTTCTTCGAGAATCCTATCTGTTCTTAAAGGATCAAAACAATTGTCACTTTATTAATCGGATGCATCCACAATCAAGCAAATCTACCGCAATCGTTAACTTTTGATATTAGATTTAACGCAAGTCAGAGCGTTCAGTGCGGTTAGTGTCGTAGACATACTGATAAGCACCGTTATTCCCATTGATAGTGTGTAACAGCGCACGTACAGTCCCCCACAAACCCTTCTCCAAACGGCATATGCCTGCAGTCATCCCAGCGATTAAAAGGGAACATCACTGGTCATTTGCTCACCCACAAAGGTAGATCATTTCAAAATATATCATTATTGAAATATAACAACACAAAAAACCTGACTGGTTTCTAAAGTATATATGGATAATAAGCACATAATTCTGGACTTGATTTTCCTTGTATGCATGGTAGTGATTCTTTAACATGAATGTAAGCATGTAACATTGACATTCAAGCTGCAGAATTAAAGCCATCGATACATTCATCGTTGTTAGATATTAGGTGAAAAGTGATTCATGCACAACAATATTAGCTTACAAAATGAAAACAATCATAGCCAATCACACGGCAAAAATTTACAAAGGAAGCTATTTGTGCAGAAAAAAATAAACATCAAAAAACTAATCATACAAAGTTTAACGTATTATAGCTTAATTGTCCCAATGTTTATTTTGACACAACATAATCAATAACCGAACAACAATTTGGTAAACAGGTTGTCAAATAGTTAAATTTGGAGCGGACCTCGCCGAGATCACACGTATACAAATGTATGGAAAACGCACGCATGCCCATATCACTTATCTAAACGAACTGTTTCTTTACCTCAATTTCAAAGTCTGGAAGATTGAATGCAGTCCTGAAAAGTGAGCAGAAGTGGGCTATGGCCGGGAGTTCCCACCAAGACTGAATCTCTTCCACAGAAATTATACGTCCCCGGGACATTTTCCACCTGGAAATGGTAAATTTGTTGCTCACATTAGAGGTGATACCTCTAATCAATTCAGGCAGCCTGTGTCAAATAAAACTGCAACTCTTCTGAACGTAACAAAGTTATTATTGACGTTGCAACCAATCAGTTGCCATTGCAACCTGGTGAGGCGGCCACAGTCTGTTGTAGTCTGAATTTCACAAGTCGGGAACAGATGGGGAGACTCTACCAACTCGAGAGAGGGGGGTGGCTAATGAATTAACCGAAGTGTGTCACGCTGGGAATGTTACATTATAACTATAGAACTTTTACTTACTGCGTTCATTACATTATACTAGTGTAGTCGGTAATTACACTTAACAAAAATTTGGACTCATGTAAATACGTGTCGTTCTTACAATGGAAATACGGCTTCTAGCACCTTCTCGGGTTATTAGACTGGTCTTCGCTTAAAGGGATGGCTCGTGAGGTTTGAGCAAGGTTGGAAAAAGCGCTTCTTCTGCGTGTCCTCTTGAAGATGTCCTGTGTCGCTGTAGCATCCACAGGGGACAAAAGCAGATATTAAGACAAGAAGGGTCAGTGGATGTCTTCTTGAAATGTGAACCGTGCTGGTCAAAATTAATATGAATAATCTTAAAAGAAACACTTCCCTATTATAACCTCGACTCTGAACCGAACTTTCATCAGCATTTAAATTACTGAATAAAACGTTAAAAGTATGTGTTTTATGAGTAAAATTGAATACAAGTGTGTCTCTAAAATTGTTAATGAGCACATCACAGCTGAAATTCTGCCCTCAATAGAAATTTCAAAGTTCATTCATTGTATTATTTAAAAAAAAAAGCTTGGAAGTAATTTTACAATCCAAATTAGAACATGCCTTTTAGGGATAGCCATATTTCTAAATACACCCCTTCCCACTGGTTAGAAAAGCTTTTGTTTGTAAATGTGACAAAACTTGTTCGCGTTTGAATTTTTTTTAAAACGTAACTAGATCATTTGGTTTCTCAATTTTTAGTTATACGTGGTTTTGGCTCCCCCTGTCGGTGAAACAAATTATTTTAATAAAATACAGTGAATAAAAGTTGCGTAGGGATGGCATAGTCGTTAATGCTGATTGGCATCTCTAAATTGGCTAATTGGCGTCTCTAAATTGCCTTTAGTGTGTGCTTATATATGTGTATGTGTCCTGGACTGTGAACTGACTACATCACAATTACAAATGCATTTAGCATTAAAAATACAAAAGACATCTGACGATCAGTCTTTTGATAGAGGTTTACATGAAAGCCGTAATTATCTGGGTCCAAACTGCAGGTGTTTCGGTTACAAAAACTGTAGAATGACATCATGGCTCAAGGTAAATGGTCTCAAAATCATGAGAGCATATGCCAATCCTGGACGACCTGCATCAGCAAAGAGGAGCAGTGGTCCCCTATAGCTGACCCTCATCCCCAGGGGACAAATGGACACTTAACAGGATTGTTGCTGAACACCACAAAAGAATGCCCTCAAAAATGAAGACAGGAAAATTAAGCTGATCCAGTCTCAACGAAAGACTGTGCATTGCTAGCTTCACAAAAGCGGAGTTTATGTTAGAAGCACTGTCCAGAAAGTGCTCGGATCCAAGGTCAGGTCCAGAATGATGGATGATTGGGGTAAGGAGCACAAACCCTGGATCGCTGAGTTACATGCAAAAGCATCTTGGTCTGACGAGTCAGGTTTCGGCCGCTTTGTTGTATTTCTCAGACCAGTCTGTTTAGAGACGCGAAATGGTGCCATCAGCCCACTATTCTGTCAAACATGATCAGGGATCTGTAATGAAGTGGGTGACAAAAGCACAGGAGTTATTAGGTCTGATGATCGGTCTGTGTGGCCGGCCAAGGAACATGAGCCTCTTATATTGCAGCAGTGATTCTGAACCAGGTCCTCGGGGACCCTCAGGCAGTCTGCGTTTTTGTTCATTCCCAGCACCCAGTGCACTAAACTATCAAGCAATCAAGAACAGCAAATACCTGGCATAGGTGTGTTAGGAGCTGGGACTGAGCAAAAATGTGGATTGTTTCCGAGTTCCCGAGGACTGAGTTCAGAAACTGCACTACAGGGTGAGGTGTATCCTCTGGTGCAAACATCATACCCTTGTGTTCCTATATTCCATGCGTGGGGAAGCTGATCCAGTGTGGGTGCAGTTTTTGGGATGGCCTCTCAATCAGCATCATCACAGCAGGTCCCCAGGACTGGAGTTGAGAACCTCATGTCAAGAACCCGCACCCACATTGGCCCTCCATGGAACCGGTTCCCCCCACTGCCATATTCCAAGACAATAGACACCATACACACTGCTAAACAAATTCAAGAGGGGTTTCCTGAACACCATCAGTTAATTAAGTACCTCCTATGATCTCCCCATTTAATAGAGGATGGACAGACTACCTAAACATCTGAAAACTATGTCCTTTGTTAAGGCCAGTGTTGGAGAAGTTACTCACGAAAGTAATCCATTACAGACAGAGGTGGAAAGTTCAGGTTCAGAAAGTACAAATCCAGACCAAGGTTTTGTTTCAACCAACCAGTTGAGTACTTTGTGACTGTGACTCTTCATACTCTTCATACTTTTGTGAGTAACCTCCCCAACACTGGTTAAGACTCATGGGGACCTGGAACATAAATCAATAAGACTGACATGCTGCTAGATGTGATGCTCACAAGAGAGGCGAGTCAAGGATTCATTTAACAATGATCGTCAGCCAGGGAATGATAAAAATCATAGCGTCATAATGAGTCAACGGGCTAAACAGCGGTGAGTGAAGAGAGAAGTGTGTCCCTCATGGCATTTCTTAGATCTTAATCGTACTGTCTGGAGAAGAGCCAACAACAATCGTTTTGATTCAAAATTGCTATGAATTACTGCCCTCCCATGTGCAAGAATATCACTGCCTTCCATCAGTCTAGCTTTATTGTCTTTACACTGAACCTAATGTACTCCATGATTTCCTGAGGGAAAAGGACGCGCGATGACATTTTACTGATCCTCTGGGTATTCTGATTATACTGGAGCGCCGAGGTTTTTCATCTCTTTCTTTTGGGGGGGGGGGGGAACAGTAAGTTGTGAAGGGAAACTCAATAAGCAGGTTAGCTTTCAAGCTGAATCCTGTTTCACTGTCGATTCAAGGTGGCTCAGCTGGTCTCGGGGAGTTAATGTGCCGCGGACGATTCAGGGCTGGTCTCTGGTCCCAAGAGAACTTAGACTTCAGCTTCTACTTACATGTTGCTGGGAGACAGAGCTTACCGAACTCGGGCAAAGTTTGTCCAGGCGGTTGCGGTTTCAACACAAGGCCATTTATTTGGCCACGGAAGCTTGGCTTTCAATCATTGTTTGCAAGTTCGTCTTAAGCGTCATTTCATGAACAGTTGTGCTTTCATTCAAATACATAACATGAGATATAATGTGAGATGAAAAGTAGCCAATGTCTTATGAGTCAGCAAACATAGAAACTGAGCACATGAAGACCAAATCCCCATAATCTTGGATGGCTTACTGGTTGAACTGCTCACATTTTTTGCTGGTGGCATAACTGACTCGGTCTCCAGTAACATGGTGTGCTTTTGCTGTATGTGAGTATGCACTGTACAAAACGGGTAGAAACCCTTTGTTACCTTATGAGTCCAATAATCACACCAGACCAAACCGTAATAGTGTGCCATTCCGGTCACTCGGTCACTAATAATGACATCTCTGTCCTCATGACAAAAACTCACAGCAGTGTTTGTCTGAAGGAGCACTTTATCCTCTGTGCCTAAGCCTGGCTGGCTGGCTTGCTGAGGGGCACTTTGGGACTTCAGCCTAACGGCCCCATTCAGTAGGCAGCCCTGCAGTGTGCCGAAGGGGCGGAGCTTGGAGCATAACCCGATACTCCATCGCTCGTGGAGCTGCATGCACTCGCTGCTGCAGCTGGAAGTCTTTAGCTGCATTCCAGGCTTCCCCATTGGTCCAGTCGGTGAGGCTGGTCTACCAGCTCAACAGAAAGCCCCTCCCATTGCTGGGGACTATCAACAATGGCCACACCAAGGCTCAAGTGTAGAAAACCAATACTAGATGTGGTGGTGTGATTAAAAGCCATGCATTAATTACTGAGTAATGACAGGAAGTATTTACCACGTGGTTCCACAAAGAGAGGGAGAGGATTTAAATTACTACTTCCAGTCGATATCCTAGTTCTATACTTGTGTCCCTGTGGTTTACTCTCCTGCAGGACAAGCACATTTGAAGTAATTACTGTTCTATACTGCACATAGAAGATGGCGAAATGTTCCTGTTATCTATATTGTACATTTTCGTCTGTGACATAATAATATTACTCTGGTACTTAACGGTAATGGAAAGTTATGTAGCGCCGCAAAACTTCTTTTGCTTAGCGTGAATGCGTTATGTTTAAGTTTAGTACATGGACTTTCTCTTCAGATTTAGTTTAGTGCTGATGGATTATTGACTCTCTTTACAGCAGCGCCCCGTGACCGCGACAATGTCCCGTGTTGCCATGGCGATTCCCGGGGGACTGTGTTGCCGTGGCAGCGCTCACTCCGCTTTCCATGTGCGCTGTGTTTCCGTGTGTCGGCGGAGGGTTGTATTGTTGTCTCGGAGTCCCAGAGTTTCATGGGAAGGAGGGGCCGGCGCGGCAGCACAAGGCTGGCGTTTGTGCGGCAGCTCACACAGAAGCTGGCGGTCACTTCTGCCTCATTCGCCAGGGGTGGACGGAGAGTGGAGAGAGGACGCAGCATCGCCCCCGACCCGCGGAATACACATCAAAGCGGTGAGAGGAATCCCCTTTGGATGGGAAAAATAAAAGCTGTGACTGTCCTGTGAGCGGTGCCGTCCACAGCGCTTTGAGGGGGCGCCGATTTGGGGAGTGAGGTGGCGCCGTAAGGCGGGCTGTGCGCTCAAAGGAATAGAGAAAGCCTTAAAAAAGTTTCTTTGCGGAGCGGGGCTCGGTGAAAGATGTGACTGGGCACCGGCAATACTGAGCCGGGGCGGGGGTGAGAGGGGGGGACAAGAGGTGAGGTGAGAGAGAGAGAGAGAGGGAGAGAGGGAGGGAGGAAGTGTTGGAAGATATGAAGGATGGTGCAAATCGTGCAGCGCAAGATGGACTTTTTGATAAGTCTTCCCTTAAAGGGTGGGGCTGTAAAAAGTTTTTGGGAGATGAAAAAGATTTTGGGAGGAGACAAAGGGAAGAAAAAGAATTAATGATTTTAAAGAGGAGAGAAATTCACCACAAGTAAAAGACAGAACAGGAAAAGGGACACTGTGTGGTGTGTAACTTGTATTATTGTTGACTGCAGCGTATGCAGTGCGGGTCACGTGAGGCGGGCATCGTCTTACAGATGTGTTTTAGTGTGGTGGGGGACACACCCTCAGCGACGCGTCCTGATTCGTGTGCACAGCGTTTAGGGATTATGCCAGGGGAGAGGGCACATTTTTATCAGCATGAATCAGAGTGATTGTAATAGAGGGAAATGCTGTTTGGACTGTTTTTAGAAGCTTTGGCAGGCATCTAGATCTGGGGCAGTGTTTAAACAGGATGTTAGCCTCTTTCAGCCTTGTCATTCAAGGACTCATAATAGGTAATTCAGATATCCTCGTGGTGCAGCAAAGATAGGAAAGCTTTTCAGTTCATTAAAACAGATTATTTTACATTTCCCTCACTGTTCTACAGCTGCACCTCATCAAGGGAGTGCTTATGGTGCGCTCCTTCCGTGAATGTGGATCCAAGGGCAGCGGCCCTGATATACGGCAGGGTTTGGCTGCGCTATGTGAGCGTCACCAGGGTCGCCAGCTGTCACGCGTCTGGTGTGACACTCACGCTTTCAGACTCACGGTCACACAAGAAATCTTACAGCAAATCTAGGCTATATTATTCCATTATAAGCCTAAAATTAGCTACTTCAAAAACCTTGGGGTGGTTTGTAAACGCTGCAGGCTATTTACAAGGTAATAAAACTATTACATACATGTAAATGCGTGTGCAGACTTGTCTCGAATTGAAAATCTCACGCCAGCCAGCTTTCCAAAGTTGGCAGCCCTGCGTCACTGTACTTCAGTGGCTGTTAATAGGGTCCGGTCTGGACATGCTAAGCAATTAGCGTGTATGTTCCTCATCCCAGATCTCTCCTAGTTTTGACGGAGATCAGCGTGGATTCGGCCTTTGTGCTGTGACGTGGAGTCAGAAAGCAGCAACGAGGACGAGTGGCCACCGCCCCCCCCCTCCCCCCGCGCCCCCACCCCTACAATGGTGGTGAGTTTCGGAGCTGTGACTGCGTAAGGAGAAGGGCTACAGCTAAAGGAAGAGACAGGAGCGAGGAAGGTGCTGCATCCAGCACAGTGACCCGGGGGACAGAGCGGTGAGGCTGGGCAGGGAAGAGGGAACAGGGCATCCGACTGGCATCAGAGCTGAGATCCGGCCCGGTGCGCCGTCCATCACCTGTGCGACGAGATGGCAGAACAAAAAGTCAGGTACTGCCTCCAGGGCCCAGATAATTCGCTGGCACTTTGACGTGAGGGCTACGGGGGGGACTTTGATGGGCCCCCCTGTCACCTACACTCTCTCTGCACGCCTTTCCCGCAGCCTGGTGGCTAAGCTAATCAATGGGGGCGTGGCGGGACTGGTGGGCGTCACCTGCGTGTTCCCCATCGACCTCGCCAAGACCCGTCTCCAGAACCAGCAGGGGCCAAAGGTCTACAGTGGATTGTGGGTATTTCTTGGTAAAACAGGGAAATAGTACCTCAAGTCTTGATTTCTATTTAATCACATTCTAACTTCACGTTTTTTTATTGCTGTCTGAAGGCTGGACTGCTTGACTAAGACTATCAGAGCAGAAGGCTACTTTGGGATTTACAGAGGTACTTTCATATTATCAGTATCAATATGAGGGCAGTCTGTGGTAAAGATGCCAGTTGAAATCCTGTAATCGGTAGAGTGATGTCACTGTTGACCCCTGATCAAGGCCCTTAACTGCAATTGCTCCAGGGACTGTCTGACCCTGTTTTGTCAAATGTGTGTCACTTTAGATCAAAGCGTTTGCTCTATAAATAAAAGTAAAGTGTCTCAGCATTTCTGTGCTAGGTGCTTATCTGCTGTGGTCTGTTATTTGGTATTTTGACAACATTCTTGAAAACTGCGGCAGACTGGCATCACAGCCGGTGCCGTAAAGTTCTGAATGATGTCATCCTGACAATGCCGGTTCGTTACTGCAGGGGCGGCCGTCAACCTCACCCTCGTTACGCCGGAGAAGGCCATCAAGCTGGCGGCCAACGACGTCTTCAGGCAGAAGCTCTCCAAGGACGGGTAGCGTGGTATTTCTCTGCACAGTTCACAGTTCAGGAAAGTCTTTGTAGACCTCAACACTGGGGTCTTCACCTGCTGACTTTGAGGTATCTGGTTGTATTGAGGATTTATCATTAGTGTCGTCTATGATGTGTGTACTGTAGGGATGGTCTCAGTGGTCAGTACTGCCCCCTCACACCTTTTTCACCAGGGTTTCATTCGCCATCTTGACTCCATGCAGTTTGCATGTTCTCCCCGTGTCGTCGTTGGGTTTCTTCTGAGTACATGCTGAGGTTAATTGCAGTTACCAAATTGTCTGTGTGTATAAATGGTGTGTGTATCCTGTAATTGGTTGGCGCCCCCCAGAGTTATTCCCTGCACCCGTAGCTTTCAGGAGAGACTCTGGACCCCTGCGACCCGGCGTTGGACAAGCAAGTATAGAAGATAGATGGATGTGTAACGTCCTCTAAAAATGGGATTAGCATGTTAGCCTGGTTCGGTTGTTGGTGTTCTGACAGCATGTCAGGAGCGTGGACCCTGAGCCCCCTCCCTTCCTGTCGATGTCCCAAAGGAATTTGCCCCTGTGGGCGGAGATTTTGGCTGGCTGTGGAGCGGGGACCTGTCAGGTGGTGGTGACCACACCCATGGAGATGCTGAAGATCCAGCTTCAGGATGCTGGCCGGCTTGGTGAGCGCAGTGGAGACGTTGGAGAAGTGCAGTAGAGACGTCCTCGGCTTTCGTGCACACGCGCCTCCCCCCCCCCCAGCTGGTGACGTATATTTGTATGTTGGATGCAGCGGCTCAGAAGACAGTTCCCACTGGCCCCTCCGTGGCGGCTCAGCCCCCCCCACCTCGCCCTTCAGCCACCAACATTGCCCTGGATCTCCTGAGGACCCGGGGGTTGATTGGGTTATACCGGGGGGCGGGAGCCACGCTGCTGAGGTAGGCGAGCAGGAATCCAAAATTAGGGGGCCAAATTTAGTGATGCAGGGGCCCTACCTACAGCATAGAATGTTGCTGTAACCAGGAAAAAATTTGGGGGGCTCTACAAATCAGATACGAGGGCTACAGCCCACGCATAAGCCCGGCCTTGGATGCAAATGTTATGCATTCATTATCTATATTTGTCTTCCTTAAATTAGGTCACTGATGTATATATTGTCTTGTGTGTTTCAAATGCACTTATTATATTGCTGACCAGTAGAACCTTTTCAAGTGCCTGAGATGTAAACAAAGACCACCCACCAATGCAGACAGAAAAACTCAACATAAAGTTACGCATTTGCATGTCAATGGGGGAGGTCTCACTCAGGGATGTAGCAATTTGAGGATGAAGCCAGCCGGTGTTTGAACTGCAAATATTTCTCATGGCAAAGAGTAAGACCCCTTTGCTTGTGAAATATATTACTGTATTATTATTATCATTATTGTTGTTCAGAGACGTCCCCTTCTCCATGATCTACTTCCCACTGTTTGCCAACTTGAACTCCCTGGGCCGGCGGAAGCAGGGTTGCCATGGAGATGTGCAGGAGCGGGCCCCCTTCTTGCAGTCCTTCGTGGCTGGCTGCGCAGCCGGTTCGGTGGCCGCAGTGGCCGTCACTCCTCTGGACGGTGAGAATCCTGTAAGGGGGGGGGGGGGGGCGGCGTAACAGAGGCAGGGAATCCCCTTTTCGGCTCTCTGAGATGGGAACACATGGTTTGAAAAGGAGCCTATGAATGTAGCCGACTGTCCTACAGCTTGGTTGGTGACCAGTTGTTGTGCTTGTGCGTGTCATCAGTGATTAAGACAAGACTGCAGACCCTGAAGAAGGGCATTGGGGAGGACTCCTACCAGGGCCTGATGGACTGCACGCGGTGAGGCTCGGCCTGCCTGCAGGAGCCTTCGTCTCTCCCGCCTGTTTCTTGGGATTTTTTTCCGCCGTGACAGATGGCTGCCTTTCCCCCTCCCCCACAGGCGCATCTGGAGCCGGGAGGGCCCGTCTGCGTTCCTGAAGGGGGCGACGTGCCGTGCGTTGGTGATCGCGCCGCTGTTCGGCATCGCACAAGGCATCTATTTCCTGGGCGTGGGAGAGCGGGTGCTGGGGCTGCTGCCATAGCGACGAAGCGTTTGGCGTTCCCACAACGTTTGGCAGCAAAGAGGGATCAGGCCGTAGGGGGAAGGGAGGAGCTTAATCTGCTAACAGTATGACTATCTCTGGAGTGCAGAGGAGGAACGCTAACTTTTGCACCAGCACGCTAATGCTACGCTTAATGCTGCTAATGGTAGTGATGGGTGAAGTGAGGCTTTGAGACTTGTGGTGGGTGGGCTTATTACTGATTTATGACCAATAAGAAGAGAGCAAAGTCAGGATAATCCCGCCAATCATGGCTTTCGAAGTCTCACTCTTCTCATGAGTGGCTAATTTTGCTCTGCATAGTAGCAGGTCACTGTTGGTACCCCGAGGTCGAAAGTGTCAAATGCCAGCCTCGGGGGCTGCTTGTGTCCCAAAAGACTGACTGCCCCAGTTTAGTGCTCTATCATTTCCATATTTCATGCCAAAATATCTGCTAAAATATCCATATTTACACAAGTGCACTAAATGTAATGTGTGTTATCTGATTAGAAATCAATAAGGATCTATGGAGTTATGTATGTATACATTTTATCATCTATATTCTGTATTTATGCACAATGTCTGCAGCTGGCCGACTATGCTGAGGTTAATCAGTTAAACCGGCAGTTTAATACCCACACGCACAAATGAAATCATGCTGACAAACTCACGCTGGCATCCAGTATCTTTGCTTGGAAAAGCAATAAAGCAGTAAGAAGGTGGGCCGGGGTACTGATAGCTAACAGGCAAAGATCAGCCCCAGCTCCTGGGGTTCAGGGTGGGAGTGCGACCAGAGGAATTATGGGTAATGTGTGCTAAAAATGTATTACTTAATTAAAATTCAACAAACTGATTACTGGATTAGATGGTTATGTCAGAAATTACGATGTTTACAGACGTGTATAAAACAAATAAAATCTACATCACTGTAACACAAAACAGTACAATCTGCTAATTTCAGGGAATTATATAAGATAACATTTTTTCACTGATCCTTACTGGTAGGAAACATTTTGATTCAGCACTGCACCAAAAGTAACATTAAGGTTTTAGAGGCTTGCAACTAGAGCGGTCTTACATGCCACTGTCCACTAGGGGGCATAACGCACAATTTGGGACTACCTTTATCACAACAACTGCATATAAACTCATACCTTACATTTCCTTTGACATCAACAAGGAAAAATCTATTTAATTCCAAGGGAATTCTATCAGTGAACTGAATTTCTCTGCTAATCTTGTTCAACATACTTTCATTTCAGCAATTAGGAAACAAATTATATATATTAAAAACAAGCCAGGACAAGTATGGTTTCTTTAATTTTAGACCCATATATACACACAGTATATGATATATATGAACAGTGTGGAACTTGACTACATTGAAAGGTATTCTTTACAACGCCAGGACAGAGAGTTAGGGTTATGTAGGTACAGGGGTATGGGAACAGAACAGAATAGGTCAGCACTTGAACACAACCTGCAAGGAAACGGTGTGTAGAAGGGAAAAGCACAAGCCTGCAGTAAATACCTTCTCTCCTCACACAAAAGTCTCCTCTAGAACACCAGCCTATAGACACAGACTGAACACAAACAGCTTGGTGTCTGGAATACGGAATGAGAGGAGGATCAAAGCACTAGGGGAACAGGGCACTTATTTCAAATGTTTTCTTTCCCACTTGTAACATGAATTCTCCTGTCAAAAACCAAGAAACATTCAGCCAGCCCTGAGTGTCAGTACCTCACCAAATTAGACAATCCTACCCTGTCTTTTGATTGGCAGGTGAGTCCACATCATGTGACTTGCAGTCTTGGTCACACAGCCATGCATGTGACCGACTGAGTTCATTTACAACAATCATTTATTACTTCCTTTGGTGCACAGACACACTTAAATGTATATGTATTAAAATAAAGAAACAATTTGATTGAGTGTTTTTATATAACACAGACACAGAATTACAACATTGTACATAATGAAATACACATCACAGAAAACAGCATGTTTCTTTAACCAATAATTTAGTCCAGTTTTAGTCCATGAACTTGCGGTTCTGGTTAACACCAAAGAGAGCCACTCGAATTTCAGGCATCATCTGAGAGAGGAGGTAAAAAGAAGTTAGATGAGTAAATGGAATTCCAACCATGAACTACACCAGCAATAAAAGATGGCACCATATTTTTTTTATGGCCTGATCCGATACCAATCTAATATTTGTTCCCCTTTATCAATGATTTGCGAGGGTTAGGTGTGGAAGATCCCCACAAACGTGAAAATTCACAAATACCTTCTAAACAAGCCATACTGTCAAATTACTTTGTCATTTTCCTATTAAGACCTTTTTATATATTGTACAAATCATCATCTAAATTATGTCCTTATAGATACAAAGATATCACCATAAGCATTAAGTTTTGGAATTATTAAAAAATGCAAAATAACCAGCAGAAGAGTTTAAATGTTACTGTGAGAAATGAGAGGTCTCATGGCTGTTAACACGTGAATGAGGCTGCTTACAGAGACAAACGTGCAGTGTACCCAAGCCAAGACTTTTATTATTAAACATATAGCATACATGTACACTGAAAAAAATGTATCACTAATATTTCTATATGATTTTATGTAATCCAAATTATTTTCAGCGTTGTTACTGGCGTATGTATTGTCTGCGGTCATCCAGCAAGCTCGAAAAAAAAATTCCCATTTAATTGTTCACAGACAACTCACAAAATAACCAAAACCGCAAATGTCACATTTGCGAATGTGTAGGGGTTACTGCATCACAGCTGGGTGGGTACCGGAGTACAGTGTTTTACTGGAACGTTCGGTTCAATACACACACGTGAACCGAGGTATGATAATATGCCTGTCATTTCCCTAGAATTTAAATATCATTATACAACAGCAGATCGTATGAACTGTCCACCTCCGGGCTTAAGGTTGCCGCATACTTCAAAGGAAATCGACGTCACTTCAATGTGACGCTGTGTGAGCAGTGATCCCCCCCCACTGCGGACAACTGCCTGACATAATGTGACAACGTGGGGCTGGTTGGCAGCCGGCAGGCTTCGTACCACACTGTGCGTATCTTTAAATGGTGTAAATTAATGTGCATTTATGTTAATTATAAATGTCGTAAATGTGGAACGTTTGCTGTGGGATGCGTGCTTTTCGTTAGCATGTAACCGTGTTATGTAAACTGTTGGTGTCCTTGTCTAGGGTTAAACCGATGGCTGATTATTCCATTTTAAAAGAGCTGTTATCTTTATTAAAATGAATACAACACATATTGAACCGTGGGAAAACTGTCATCATGTGACCCTCACTTCTGTTTACGGTACGTCAGGCTAAGCCTACACGCGTTTTCTGCATTTCTCGGGCTAGACCTTCCTGATGGAAAATCGGATCGGTTTCTAACTCCCCAGCTCCAAAATATCCAATTCAGCATTTTTTGCCAGTATCAGCCTGATTGTGGGTATCAGTTCAGTGCCATTGGGTATCGGTATCGGTTCAGTGCCATTGGGTATCGGTATCGGTTCAGTGCCATTGGGTATCGGTATCGATTCAATGCCATCTGTACCAGCAATAAGATGTTTCAAAACCATGGTGGGAGGGATTAACGCATATCAAAACCATCCAGGTTTAATCCACTCCCAATTAGTTACTAGACCAAGTTAGTGCAACAATTGACATCATATAGTTAATCCCACTTACCCACCCACCATAATTCTCAAAAGGTTTCATAATATTTCCCCAATCACTATAACCAGATCACTTGTGCATTGGGACAGGTCAATGTCAGCCAACGGAGTTACTGACCAGGCGTGTATACATTGTGTTTAATTCTGTTATTCTATCACAGACACAAAACATGCTCTACCTGTTGGGCAATGAGGTCCAGCCTGCTCTCCAAAGTATTAGACACCTTGATCTTCCCATCTGCGTTGTACATCTCAATGCCTCCGGTGCTTAGAGAACACAAGAGCACAATCGCCGTAAGACCCAGACCATGAATGCACTCCATGGCTCTGAGAACCATGCAGCACTGTGATTCTGACACCAAGATGCCAACTTAAAATCACAGCAGGATCTGAAGAGACAACGAGCCACGTCTGAACACGACCGGGAAGTTCTTACATTTCCGGGGAGAGAAAGTTCTCCTGGTCGATGCGGACCTCAAGATTGTTCTTCACAGCATTCTTGTAGATGGGGATGTTTTTTTGTATAGCGGCCTGCATGAACAGAAACACAGCAGGACCACCATTCAGAAATACCTGCATTAAATTCAGGGATCTAGCTAATGCATCACTGAGCTCCAGAAGGACAATGGAAGCAGTGCTGACCTGCACCAGTTTCACGTCCTGCTTACGGCAGCGGATGGTTACTTTGGGTTCCAAGAGCTGGTAGAAGCCCTAGAGAAAGAAAATAGAGAGCCGGCAAGAGATTTACAAAAAACTGCGAGGCAACCATTACCCCTACGCTGGTTCCTGAACAGAATCATCCTTCTGTAATACAGACCAAAGTAGCTAAATGGAGCTAGAGAGTTAGATCTTTGCAAGGCGAGGACTCCCACTCTAGACCCAAGGTGTTTGTCAATACCAAGAACGCAAATATCGGACTAGCGGTCCTGGCAATAGCGGTCTTGCTAACTTGCCTCCCAAGAAGGAACTTGGGGTGCAATGAATCATGGCATTAGTCTCATTTGGTGACGATGCAACTAATGCATCCTTGATATTTGGGCCTGGGCAAGAACGACATCCGGGGATTTTTACTGCACTCCGTACTTCAGTTATTAAGTATCGGAGCTGGTCTACAGCAATGGAAGACGACGTGAAATGGGTACACAAGAACACAAGTACGGTCAAGTATGCATTGAGAAACACCCCTAATTTTTCCAGGGCTGGTGAGAGAGTGCGCCGACACACAACGACCAACCTTACTAAACAAGAATGTTCTCAGATTGCTCACCATCCAAAACAGATAGACTTACTTGCAGAACTAGCCCCTCTAGCAGATTGGTGTACCTTGCCGGGTCTTTGGCGATGACTGCCAGCCTTTGACGAGCCTCGTTTAACAAGTCCTGAAGACAAACAGAAAAGTAAAACTCATTTTACCCCAATCCCAGAAAGTTTATCATAATCTAGCCAGAAAAGGTACCAACCGAAACCATGTCATCGCGGGCCTTCAGGACCTTCAGCCGGGCCTGGTTCATCAGGTTGGACATCTGACTGTGACGGATGAAGCGAAACACCAACAGCTGCTAGTACGATGGTAAAGGATACACACTGCTGGTTCAGCTTCAAGCCCAGCTGACCTACAGCTAACCTCAGAAACTTAACCTGAACTGCTCTGCTCTCACTTACAGATAACTGCTATTCTATTGTTCAGGTAAAAGAGGTACACAAGTATTTATTTTTAATGTAAATGTAATATGTCTAAAGTGTGGCATTTCCATATTAAAGTGGAAAATACAAGTTCCCTTTTCAGTTTCCCCACCACTTCTCACTGCCTGGCGTGAGCGGACATGACTCACATCTTCTTCTGCTGCTCGATCTGCTTTTCCTTCTTCTCGTAGTACTCCATGATCTTCAGCCTTTGCGTCTGCACAAGGCGGCCCTTCTCGATATTGAACTCCTCCTCAGCCTGCAGGGGGCGGCAAAGTCACACTCCAGGAGCGCTGGCCAAATGGAAGCGGTTCCCCGTAGTCCACATATCAATAATTTGTAGGAACACTGTTCCATGACTAGGTAGGGACTATCAGAAAGTCACAGAGATTTAAAGTGATTTAAAATGAAATCACTCCAAGGACATTTAATATGAATTCCTTCGGTAATATAAATGGGTATATTACCCATAATTCCTGATCACGGAAAATAACATGAATGAAGCTGCTCAGATGGGAAGCTGTCAGGCCTTACATTACCTTGGCATCAATCTCCTCTGCCTTCTCATTGGCCTCCTGTTCAATGAAGGCCATCATGTGTTTGATCTGTCAGGGAGAGGCAGTGATAGTGAATCATTAGCGATGGAGGAACAGCGTTCAGGTGAAAGTGCCATTACTATCTCAGTCTTAAATTCCACCTGAACTCGGTTCCTGCAGATTTCCTCCAAAACACATATCATCATAGCATTAGAGAAATTTCATTTGCAGAATGTATTACACTGAAACGTCAGATGTCTCCAGAAGGCACTCTGTACCTGAAATGCTTGCTGCGATCATAATGAATAGCCCTCCGATACTGCAGGGGGCGCCAAATGATAAGTGACAAAGGATGCAAGTAGAAATATTATTTGATATCTATTCCCGTGGTCGATTGATCTGTTTCGATAATGTTAAACCATACATGTGACTGTCAGTGAACAGCAACCCAGTTAATTTTCCTAATACTACAGATGACAAGTCTTTTAAAGCATGCTACAACTTGAATTATGGTATAAATACAGGCCAGAAAAATCAGTACTGTAAACCAGAAAATTATGTTACTATAAAGGACATTTAAATAAACCCGTACAACAAATGCAGAAACTATACTGAAGGATTCACAAGGTACCAGCCATTTGCTCAGACAATTAGTTTTGAAGCGTGGAATGTAAGGGTGGGGATATGGCGTTACCCAAAACACACTGGGCACGAATCACCGTCAACAGTTTAGTCATCGGGATGAACAGATATTGCTTTTCTATGTTACAGTTCCACTGTGAGTGATTGCAGTCAATAAACTGCATGATTTGATTTAACTGGGGGAAAACTCATACACAAGAGTTCCTCTTTAATCCTAACCTTGGGTTTTCACAATCGACGCCCGGTTATGTTCCTCCTCACCGCTCACGATTAGAACTGTCTAGTCAGCTAGTTTACACAATAACTGACAACTTATAAAATAAACACCGTTAAAGAACAAAATATACACAATAAAAGCCTTGGTTCAAAAGCAACCTTATTTTCACGCAAGGACCTGCAAACCTTGTTGAGACACTTGAACTTAAACAACTGATTAACACGGCGTGTCATGGTCTCTCAGGCATCAACGAATTAAACGAGTGAATTTGACCTTTTTGTTTTTCCCCCGCACACCTGACATGACCTGACCGAAAATGCAGCTACGCCGAAACATCATCAAGCAATGTCATTCACCACCACCGACAGCAAGATAAGTAGCAAAAATATCGTTTAATATTGACGCATCACATAGTGAGGCATCTCAACGTTAGAAATGTTTAAAGGCAGCAAACTAGGCTGGTCGGTTACCTGTTTCTGTACGTCGGCATCGCTGAGCGCCATGACTGAAGTGTCAAACGAGAACTATCCGGCCAGCCGAACAAAGCACGAAAAACAAACAAATCCGGCAGAGAGCCAATCTACAAAAAAACAGTGGGTGTGATATCAAATCGTCTATCCCACAATAAATAAACCCATAAATAACTGAAACTTAGGATAAGCGTGAGGCTCCGCAGTCGCCTCTAGCTGAAAGTGTCCCGGATGTAGGTATCAGCTGATCCTCACTCGATGAGCATCGAGTCACATGACGCCCCCCATACTGTAAAACGTCATCATTCAGTAGCCTGTCAATCACCGCCCCCTTTACCCCACCCTGATTCCTATTGGTTTCTTTTTGGGGGTCGCTCAATGGATTGTAACGGGTGTTGAGTGACAACACGTTAATCACGCTGGCAGTAAGTTCACTTTTTGGGGGTAGTTACGGTGAAAATGAAACGGAAAACCGTATTAAAATATTAGCCAGTTACGTAATCTGCTGTCAAAAGTACAGCTAAAATGCTGAAAGTCATTTTATGCATGGACATGTGCATGCTATTAACTATATTTGAATGAAATTTTGAACAGTTCATAAGGGTACCGATATGAAGTCAACATATTCCAGCGTAATTTATACTTTAAAACAGATACTCCACAGTTTTAACTGTAAGCTGTAAATGTTATATTTATCAGTTATTCGGAATTGATAAAAGTATAGAAAGAGCATACTTTACTCCACATTTTATGAGGAATACGGTTTATTAAGAAATGTCTTTAGGCTATTAGAAGGGTACGTTTATTAAAGAAAGACAATATTGCATTTAAAACCACCAGTGATGTAAGGCGTGTTTGTTTTATTGTAAAATCGTAAAATAAAATGTAATAATGAAGAAATCGCGACATTTCATGAAGTGACATCTTCCATACACACAATCTTTACAAACAGTTAATAAAAATACAAACGAGAAAAATCAAGGTCACCTTTTCTTGTAACTGATATGTTACGATACTGTAGGTGTCGATGCACGTCATGTACACAATATTTTAGTTACTGCAAAACATGAGACAAACTTTTTCCCGTACAGAACAGCCTCTTGTCCATTATTATGCGATCGATGCATTTATGTGCCTCTGGCGTCTGACTGAAAAATAACGTTGGCATTTATATAAAATTTTGTCGAAGTAGGAATAAAACAGTTTAGGAACGCCCTTTGACCCCTTCTAAAACTGGCGCAGCCAGGAGCGTAGTCTCTACTGGACGCATGATGGCTGCCTGATCTCTAAATTAGGAACCGGTGGGAGTCAGAAGTAGGCTACACGGGCTTTCCACTTAGGAGAGAAGTGACCAAGTGCGACGAGAGAGGTTATAGGCACCAAGGTGAGCCCGTGTTGTTTTTGCGCGCTCTCTGTTTGGACTGAATTTGTTTTGCGTTTTGTGTTGAAACAAAACATACTCATATTCTCGCCGTGGACAGAGGATCCGCTACCCAGGTTACCAAGAGATCGACTTAATAGAAAGTACGGTAAAGTGTCAGGAAGGTGGGTGTAGTTTAGAGACAGTACGGGGAGTAGCGTCTGTGTAGGAGTTCGCAACCTGCTGCGTTGTTTAATATTTATATTATTATTATTATAATGTAATATATTATATGACATATAATTAGTCAATTTACCCAAAAGGAAAAACATGGACAACAGATGTTATTGGAAAGTTGCAATTTTGTATTATAATGTTTTATGTTTACTTGCAGGCTACCCCGTAAGCCGCTTCTCGGTCTAACTGATTTTTAATGTTTAATTGGTCATAATTTGTCATTCAGTCTGCTTAACATTTCTTGGAAAGGACATTTACTTAGCGGAGAGAGTGTACTTATAACGGGCTTCGCATTGCTTGAAATAGGTACAGATGTTTTTCGTGCAGTGTTTGGGGGATGTTTTTCATTTGTCATTCATTTTGGAAGGACAGTGTAACTTAGTTCTTAGGCAGTACCGAAATCAGATTACTGGCTTTACGTGCCATGCTCTGCACGTGCAGCTAAAGCGCTTCTCCTGTGAAACGTAAGCGTCGGTGCGCACGTGCGGCGTCCCGCGCACTCTTCATTCATAGAGTAAATGTTGCAGGTTCATATCCTTTGCTTATAGCTGACATTGTGCATCGTTAGTAAATATTCTGTTGGGATACTCATTGTGGCCAAGTGGAGATAGTGTAAGTTGTCACCACATCAGGGTTATCAACTTTGGTCAGCTGGCAGGCGTGGGATTTTAAATTCGAGTCTGCACAGGCATTTACATGTATGTAACAGTTTTATTACCTTGTAAATAGCCTGTAGGGTTTGCAAACTACCTCAAGGATTTCCATATTGCTAATTTTGGGTTTCTAATGGAATAATATAGATTTGCCATAAGATTTCTTGCGTGACTGTGAGGGTCTGAAAGCGTGAGTGCAACACCAGATGCCTGAGAGTTGACAGCCCTACCACACAGATATAAAACAGGCTTACTTAAGAGTCTTAATCTGTATAATTCAAGACCAGTAGTCATGAGCATTGTATTGTTTTCAGGAGAAGAGCCCTGTGGTTGTGTACTGACATTTCTCCATGGCTGCTGCGAGCTCATCCACCACTGTAGTTGAGGGCTTCCACTTTGAGACCAAATATGTTGTCCTCAGCTACCTGGGCCTACAGCCACCCAGAAGTCTTCCTAGGACACGTGTTGCTACAGGTGAAGGTAATGGTGAAAGTGCACACCTTGTTTACAGTGTGAACACCTTGTTTACAGTGTGAACACCATGGCCAGTTTATTATCAGGTAAACCTGACTAGTACTGCTCATGACCTACTCCTGCCCTCAGAACCACTGCAAGGGTGACATGCCTTTCCGCACACCACTGTTGTTACCACAAACTAACTAGTCTGACTGTTCTTATCTTATTAACAGTATGTTTTTGGCCACAGAAATGCTGTTTTTTTTTTTGGTTTTTTTTTCCCCATTACAGCAGTTTCTGTAAAGTCTAGACACAGTAGTGTGTGGAAAATCCCAGGAGTGTGGCTGCTTCTGAACCAAAAATCACACCAGCCTAACAACGGCTTAGATTTGGCCATTCTGATGCTCTGCGAACAGGAAGTGAACCTCGCTTTTTGTTTGGTTACTTATGGGTAAAGTTAGGGCTGGGTAGGGGTTAGGGTTGTCATTGTTGGGAGTAGGGATTTACCTATAGAAATGAATACAGGTGTGTGTGTGTGTGTGTGTGTTAGAGAGACTGACTGTCTGCCTGACATTGTGCCAGTAGGGATCTCTGAATCTGAATGGCTCGCTGTGTCACAGCTGCAGGCACCAGCCAGTCTGAGCAGGAACGGCACAGCGGGATTAAGGGGCAGGTCGAGGAGGAGCTGAGGAGGCTGGAGGAGGAAATCGCAACATGTGAGGCCGTGTGTGTGTCGTGGGGGGGTTCCATTTGTATGTGGCCTACAGTACATTCCAGTGCTGTAGCCATGTTTTGTGAGAAACTCACGTGTTGCCCCAGTTAAAAAAATAAATAAATAAAAATCATAGATAGTGGCATCTATTTTAATGTCAGCTTGCAGCTGCACATGGTTCTGGCATGAAGACACAGTCTAGGCAGTGTCACAGATGAATATAAACAGTCATGGCGTCGCTGTAGCACTTCAGTTTTATAGTTCATTTTTTTTTGTCCTCACCTGTCGTTCAGCCTTCTCGAGGACTGGCTTCGACTGCCACACGTCCCTGGTGTTCAGCCCCGCCAATCCGGAGAGTTCCATAGAGGAGTGTCTGGCCGTGCTGGGCAGCCATGTGGGCCAGAACCTGGGCTCTCACCTTACCGCGGCCCTGCAGGGCCTGCTGGGAGAGTGAGTCCTGTCTGCGCTCTCGTTCTTTTCTTTCCACTGGTTTCTCCAGCCACTTGCCATGACAACTGGGTGTAACACTATGCAACAGGATTTCCATGAGTTTCTTTGACCCGGGGTTTCTAAAAATACTGGAGGGAGGGGTGAGTCGGCACTCCAGCACGACGCACTCGTGTGTGCGTGGAGTATAAAGAGTGTGACCTTCACACCTCGGGAGCGAGACCACAGCGCTCGCCGATTCCCTGACGGCCATCAGGAGTCCCGCGTTAATATGTTAACTACTTAACTTTTACTGCAGGGATTTTTCCTGGACCTTCAAGGTCCTTTCGAGCGTCTGCGTGAAAATTGCCAACAGTTTCACCAAGCATTCGACTGGGTCCGTACCTGGTCTGGTGCTGTTTGTCTACAGCATGGTACAGTAACTGCAGCCGTCTGTGTTTGTGAAACAGACCCCTGGACTACGAGCGTTACAGGGACGCGGTGCAGAACGTCTCCTCTCACTCTCAGGGTGGTTGGAACAAGGTGAGCTGGCCTGTGTTCTTTATCTGAGTTGTCACTATTTCCAGCATCTTTATTGATCTGACCCCCCCCCCCCCAAAAAAAAAGGTTCTGGTGCCCCTAGTGCTCTTGCAGGCCTTGCTCTGGGAGGGGCAGCCCCTGACAGAGCTGGTTCCCCTGGGGATGCACTATCTGCTGGAGGCTGAGGCGGAGTTCGTCATCGGGCAGGGTGGATGGGTGAGTACCCGCACTCTCTGCGTTTGTAGGATGCGATCGTCGTCATGTCGCCGCCCAGACACACTTTTGACAGTTAGCCGTGTCTGATTTTTGACGGACTTTGGCAACTTTTTTTTGGCTTTAATTTCCACCATCAGGTGGCGCCAGAGACATATTCAAGAAAATATTCAAATGCCGTCAATGTTGCAATTCGTTTGATTTACCAAACCAGTAGCGTGTCTTCCGCTAACCCAATTTGCAGTGTGTGCTTCCTCCAGTAAATCTGGCTCTCTTCCACCCCCCCACCCCCCGCAGACTGGGAGGCCCTTTCAGCCTCTGTCTCAGCTGTGGATCTGACCTTTGAGAGGCGTGTGTAATTTTATGTTAATGTATTTCATTATTTGTAATAATTATGGTTATTTGTAATGTTTTGTAGTAAAGGTAGATTATTAAGATATTAATTTAGCATTATTACATAAATACAAATGTGTAATTCCCCTTCTGTCTCATCGTGTTGTTGTGAAATCTGCATGTTTCTGTTAGCACTGTAATCAGTTCGGTGGTGGTTGGGGGGGGGGAGTCCAGTGTGGGCCTTGGAGCACCTCTGCCATGTGTCCGCCCCATCCAGCTGTTGTCCTCTCCTTTTGTCCCCCTGGCTGGGTAGGGCTTCCAGGTGTTGAAACTGGATTTTTTTTTTTTTAATAAGCCATTTGTCCAAATTTTATGTAGCCATTTTATTAATTTTTGACTTCATAACATCATGTTGTTTACCTATTGCCATGACGAGTTTTTGGAAGGGTGTGCCCTCGTTTGGGTAGAACGTCCTGCTGGCTGTGAACATGACTGGCCAGCTCTGCTTGCAGAGTTCAGGCCCTGTGGATAGTCAGGTGTACATTGGAGCTCTGCCAGGACCACATGGAACTCGCTTGATTCACGAGTTACCATGTGTTGTAATCGTGAAATGGTGGCTGACTGGCCATGGTTGTGTGCGTACTGGTGAGGGATGAAACAGGCACAGAAGTATTCCCAACACTGTTACAATGTTTTGTTTTTTTTTTCCTTCCAGAGATGGATGTAAACCTGATAAGTCCTGACTCGTAAATGGCTGACCTGCTTCTCCGTTAATTATAGGTCTAGCTGACAGGCAGGGAGGTTGGTGGTGATTCCCAGCTCCCTCCATCGATTATGGAGGATTAAGTTCCTGTGTGTTACTGAAAGCTTTATTCATTTTTTTGTCTTCCACTGATGCTGGGCCTCCGCCTCACCTCCTAGCCCCATAGCCTGGCTCTCATTGCCAGCCCCTATTCCCCCAACACCATTTCGTCTGACGGCCAGCTAACGGCTTCATAGTCCTGCGCCTGCAAGCACGTAGTGCTGGGTAGGGCTGGAAAGTTCAGGTCCAGAAATTACAAATCCAGACCAAGCTTTTGTTTTTACCGACCAGCTGAGTGCTCTGTGACTATTCAGTTGGTTGGTAGAAACAAAATCTTGGTCTGGATTTGTAATTTCTGGAATGGAACTTTCCAGCCCTGGAGCTGGCTTGTTTGTTTAATAGGCTGCTGCTTTTAGTATAAATTGAAACATTTCTATGCTCATCAACAGATGGAAGGGAAGAGAGGGGGGGGGGGGAAGTGACTTATGCAAATAAAATGTTGGTATGGGGGAGGGGCAGGCTCTGTTAGGTTTTGTGTGTGAGTGGGGACCAGTACCTGGAATTGGACAGGAAATGTCAACCGCCAAGGAAGATGAGCATCTTGGGTCTTTGCAGACACATGGGGCACAATGGCATATGGCCCGCATGGCGCTGTGATAGTGTTATCGCATCATGCACCTTCTTGCTTTTGAGGAGGGGGTGTGTGTACTTCAGATCTGTAACCCTGTTATTTCCTAGGGCACCGTGCTCAACCTGGAAGAGATGGAGCCCGGTGTCATCGTCGCTGAGGACGCCAACGACATCTACATCTTGTCGGGGGAGCAGCTGAGCCCCCCCGCGTCACTGGTGTCCTCGGCGGAGGGAGGAGAGCACAGGCCGTGGCAGGCGGACAGCCTCCTGACGGGCTCAGGGTCCTGGGCTCAGGTGGGCTCCACGGAACCCGAGGACGTGAAGAGCCTGGACAGCGATGCGGGCGTGACGCTCGCCGAGGAGCGCAGCGAGAACAACTCCTCCAACTCCGACATCGTGCACGTGGAGCGGGAGGAGGCGGAGCTTATGGAGGGGGAGCTGCAGGAGAGCATGCTGAGCATTCTGGGTAGCGGGAGCGAGCTGGTGGAAATGCAGGGGGGGACTTTGCTGTGTGCAGAGCCTCCCACTGAAGCCTCCGTGGTCCCTGAGAGCCAGTTATCTGTGGGGGGGCTTCTCACAGTGCAGGAAACCCCAACTCCTCAAGTGCTCCTTTCTGTTCCAGAACCAAAGCCCCCTGTCCCTGCCCCCTTGCTAGCAGCAAAGCCAGAGGCCTTCGCGAAGCCGCAGCAGGAGAGTACGCAGGAGTCCGTGGCAGCAGTAGCCGGCAAGCCCCACGCAGCTCCACCCGAGGAGATCCCGCCCAAGCCCAAACCATCCAGGCCCTCTGAGCTCCCCATGCTTCTGTGCAGTGGCGCCGCCCTGGTGGCCATTGCTGCAGTAGTGGTTTATGGAGCCATGGTCTTCAGGAAGAAGTAGTAGCGTAGGGTGACTGGGGGTGCTGCACAGCCCATACACTGGGGAGGAGCTTATTGAGTTTTATTTAACATCAGGATTGTTTTGTGCCTCCCTAAGTCAGCTCAAAACATGGCTCATGTCTGGAGCGTTTCTGTCTTTGTTTGCCTGTGACCCTTGCTGGGTCTTCCCCTCCCCCTGGGGCTTCTGGCGGGGATTTCTGGGTAGTTTTCTGGTCCTTACATACCATGTGTGTCTCTACTGAAAGACTTTGAGAGAGGAGGGGTTGTTTGGGTCATGCAAAACGGGAAGTGAGATTTTACCTGCAGGAACTGGAATCTACGTGGCCCATACTGGAGTCCCGTTCTGCCCGCCACACCACGGCCGTATCTGCGTTCCCCTCCGGTCTGGCTTCTGATCTTGGCTCATCTGTTTTGGGCTTGACTATCCAAGGATGCAGGAGTCCGTAGCCCCCTGGTGGCCATCGCTGCACTACGTCACTTCCTTCTGTCTTTCTTTTTATTTTTTCTTTGCCCTCCATGCTAAAGCTTGTCCGCACCGCTAGTGTCACATGGGGGATGTTACACTTTCCCTCAGGTTTTTTTTGTTTTTTTTTTTAAGCCCCACGGCAAAGGATGTGGGGGGCAGCAATCAGCAGCCTTAAGGTATGTGGCAAACAACCAGAGGAAAGAAGACCGGGCTGACCCCGTACTGTGAAGCGACCCACATCCTTCCTGTCCGGTACTGACATCTGTGCTCAGCGTGACGTTAACGGAGAGTCCGGGAGGCAGATCCCCGCGTCAGAGCCGCGCAGCGACCAGAGCTCGGCACTGCACTTCACTGCATCGGTAGTTTCCAGTCCAGTTGACACATTCTAACCCACCCCCATCCCCCCCCCCCCCCCCCCCCCCCCCCCCCAATTATGACAGCTGAAGCATGACAGTTTGGCCATCTGTGCTCAAAGCAAAATGAAGAACCAAACGAAGGAGACAGGTTAGGGGGTCTGTCTATATTTTATCTATGAATGGTTGATTATGATTCTTATGCCATAAAACATTGGTCTTTTAGCCCACAGAAAGGATGGAGACGGTTTCTTCTGACTGAGTTTAGGACCTCATGGTTGTAAAAGCCTCTACTTCTTGACTCTTCTCCTGAGCTCGGCCACACATGTAAATACAGGATTGAAGTTAAAATGGCTGACTTTTTTTTTTTTCTTCAGTGGTCTGAAAATACCTTAATAAATGTCATGGTTTGGTACGTACAGTACAGTTTATACCAGCTATGTTACCTGGGGATGCTTTCTAGAAATTTTCGATAGATCTGACCCAGCTAGTATGACTGCAGCATACTGCTGTGTCACGGCCCAGACTGCCTGATGGGGCTGTGGCTTGGAACCACGTGAGCTCAGCTTTCCTGAAGAGCAGCACATCTCGACCCAGTCCTCAGGGACCCTCCCCCCAGCAGTCCACATTCTTGTTCCCTTCCAGCTCCCAGCACACCTGTACCAGCTATTCGTTGTTGTTCTTTGGTTCAGGTGTGCAGAGGGAAAATGTGGACCGTACCTGGGGACTGGGCTGAGTAGCCCCACCCAAGTGCATTACAGCCCTTTTGAGAATCTGTGTCGCAAAGTGGGCCAATGAGGCAATACTTCCTGGAATACAGGTATTTGTACCCATTTTTAGACTATAAACTTGAAAACCAGCAGTAAGTATGAAGTGCTGGCATTTGGAAAACCACAAATAAAACGAGTGTTACGTCCCACATTTAGTATCACTGTAAACACTACAGTTATCTAAGAATCACTTGAGTCATTGCAATGAAAATTGATTACAGTAATTCTTTATTTTCCAATTGCGTAAGTACAAGTACAGTGGTACCTCAGAACTACGGATCGAATCCTAAAAAGTTAAAGTTCTGATCGATTTTTCCCCATAAGAAATAATGGATAATTGGTTCCCAGCCCCAAAAACTTACACCAAAATATGTTTTTTTTTTTTTTAGCATTTAAACACAAAATGAACCAGATGAAACAAGAAGAGCATATACTATACTAAACACATCAAAGCACATTTATCAAAACAGTCATTTGTAAAGTAAGAAAATAAATGTATCCAAACAATGTGTCCTGCCACGATCGTCTGCTCCTTCCGTGTGCCACGCCCCCTTGTTAACCCCATGTGGAATCCCTGTGTGATCAGCTGTTTCTGGTTGTTGTCACGAGTCCTCTGCATTTCGTTTGCGTTTCAGTTTGTTTCCCCAGTCCGGTTATTGTATTGTCCGTCTGCGTTTTGCCTGCTATACCTGTAATTAAACCCCGTATTCCCCGATACTCTGACGTCTGCGCCTTTGTCTCCGTTCCATCTCCGCTCGGCCCGACAATATTATTATAATTAAATGTATTAATGGTTTATTATTAATATTTAAAAGAAATCTTTATTTTTAAATGTATTTTATTATAATTACTGTTACTGTCATTGTATAAATGTATTTTTACTGTCTAAATATATGTATTCAACTAGTGTAAACATGCACGATGCTATCACAGAGAATGCAAGGCTGAGACTGAAGCGTTACCCTTTGTTTCCGCTGAGAGATGTGCCACGTGACTCATTTCCCCACGCGTACAAGTTATCTTAGGTCGGGGTTCACGGTTTGACTTCTGAGATTCAGATCGAGCTCTAGGTAATTTTTTTTCGAACTGGTTGGTTCGACTTTTTAGAAATTCGAGTTTCAATGAGTTTGAGAACTGAGATACCACTGTACAATAAAATGCTTCTCTTTGCCGCCTCTATCTTGCTCTCCATAGCTCGGGAGGGGGGGGTCACAGCACAGGGTCAGCCAACATGTAGCACCCCTGGAACTTGGGGTTAAGGGCCTTGTTCAAGGGCCCACAGACACGCAACTTCTGCTGGGGCTTGAACCGGCGATCTTTCGATCACCGGCACAGAGACTTGGCCCACTGAACCACTCACCGTGCCCAACCGGGGAGTCGGGAATGTCGGGAGGCCGCTCAGGCCGTTAAGCCACGCAGCGGAGGAGAGATAAAAAGGGGGAAAAGTGTGAATGGTATTTTTCAGTTTCCCATCACAGGAAACATCTGATCAAAGATGATATCTTACAGTATTGGTGTTGTGCAATCCTGCTCATGTTTCAGAGTTTTGTAATGAGTCAAAACAAGCACCCGTTTGATAGATTACATATTCGTTTACAGATCAGCCATTAAAAATGGAACCACACTATCTAAATAAGCGCTAGCTGTAATTTGCAGGTAGTGAATTGGAACAGAGTAGCAATTTCAAGAACCACTGAAAAGAAGACTTAATGAACGTGGGGTCCATAAGAAATGGTAAACTTGAAAAGTAAGAAGAAAACTGATGATCATCAAATCCCCCTTTATCCGTGTGAAAAAATCTGCACGGATACTTCAGAACTTGCCTCTGTCGAGAGAGAGAGAGAGAAACTACAGGTCATGTGACCAGTTCACCGCACAGGGGCAGACGCAGCTATTACATCTGCATTCTACAACCTAGATGCTTTCAGAGCAACAACAATGTACTCCCCAGACGGCTGTCACCCCCACCCACCCAAAAATCTTCACCAATACAAAAGTTTGAAAAAGATTTGCCAAATACTTTTCAGTCATTGCGCTAACAAGATAAGTGTCCATTGTGGCAAAACGGCCCCCAAACCAAGTAATTAGAATGGGGCTGGAACTGGTATGTGGTAGGGTAACCAACTATGCAATACTGCACCCTCGAGGTCCAACAGGAGGCCTTACCTCCTCAATGCACGTGGAGTCACGAGAAGTTATGGACGTACTGCAGCGCTGTGCGGAAGAGGCGCTGGAGCATATTGGGAGCATGCTGGCACACACCCTTGACGAAGGTGAATGTTAAGGCAAGCATGAGACGCTCTTTGGGGAGCTGGTCCAGGCTTTGGGTCAGACCTCCATGAAGCATCTTCTCAACCTCACGGGAAAGGCAGAACTTCCAATTCTTCACAGGACATAGGATGGAGCCAGGTCACATGGTACCAATCGGAACAGGGTGGAAAACTGTTCATTTCTGGGAGACTCTGCTCTTATATATTTACCAGATCATCTGGCTTTTAAAAAGTGCAAGCTATTACCCCACACCAACCTCCCTCTCTCACACACACATACAAACCTCCTCAGGACGGTTCTGCAAATTCCTGAATAGGTTCCAGAAGGTAGCTTGGAAGATGACTGTCCTCTCCAGCTGATCAGCGATTTGAACGAGTTCACCTGCCACAATTCTCACAGCCTCCTCATCTATGATATCACCTGGAGAGTTTGGCAATTATTACCGTAGCAACCAATTGGCAGAGCTTTCACAGGCGAGACTAAATTTGATGTCACAAAACAGAGAAGGCAGATGCCTAAATCTATACTTCCTGTTACTTTCCACTGAAACAAACAATGCTGTATGAGAAGACCAGAACCTCCCTATTTAAACACCAGCAGAGTGGACCTGAACTGTCCCAACTGCTTACTTGTTCCATCTGAGCTCTAAATTAATACAGTCCTGCCCTGCCTGCCTTGGTCTCATATACCTTATTTTCCTCATCTGTCTGAATCTTGTAGCAACACATCCTGAAACTAAGGTCTAAAAAAATTTTGAACTTAATGTTTATTACACATATGTGGAATATCTAGTTTTCCCAGTCATTACAAACATCACCAAACTAACAAATCAGTTGTGAAACTAAAAATATTAAATGACTAAAAGCTAAATAAAAACCTCATCTAGAATAACGAATATGGTCTTCTTTGAGTAATAAAATTCTCATATTATTTTTTTGGTGACAAGACAATGAAACGTCAGCACCATGACCAGACAAGACCACACCATGATTATCACACAAGGTGGGAAAATCAAATCCATCTCGCTTCTGGCAGTGCATCCTGACCTCGAGAGCCCCGCGGCCCCCTACCTCTCACCTCGCTGCAGGGGAAGTGCCTGAGGTTGCAGCTCATCCAGGTACTGCCTGGGATTGCAGCAGATGTGTCCATCAGACTGCACATCATCCTCCTCCGCAGGGATCCCACAGGAGGGCGTGAGGCAGGACTTCAGGGTGGTCAGCTCCTCCTGGAGGTCCTTGTTATCAGAGCTGCCGTCTTCAAGGAAGCAGAAGAGGAGCAGGGCGGTGCGGGGGTCCGTCTCCTGGTCCATAGCTCGCCGCCGCTTTCCTCCGGCTCAGCGCGATCGGCCCACGGCACCCGGCTAGGCTGTCATCCATACAGCCCAAGAGAAAAACATCTTTAACTATCACACACTTATAACTCGGATTAACTTCCAGTAGTTGCCGGCAAGTGCGGCACGTCGCGTGCCGACATGAACTAGTCAAACTGTTAAAGCCGACTTTTACCGCGGACGATCACTAGCCCCAAATTAGCCTAGCCATTAGCGTCGGATCCATACGAAATCGCAACTCGATGACTATTTAAAACTTCGGCAGCTAAGTTTATATCAGCAACAAAATCTCATGACGATTCTACTTAAGCAAACGAAGAAAAGAAAGTTAAAAAAAATAAAAAGTTTGAACGGCTAACTACTGAGGAGAAAAAAGTTTGATCAGTTTGTACCGTTAAACAGCGAAACCTTTAACAACTATGCTGTGGTAAAAAAAACGGAACTCGGGAGCAACTTCAAGTCTTCATTATGACGTCAAACGCCAATTGCTACAAGTAAATAAAAATATATACAACTTACCGTCTAACGGGAGGACGACAGAGATCTTCAAAAGACCCACGAGACTCCAGATACTTGAGTAACGTGATTGCATTAAATAGCGGACTTAGAAGCCCCCCCAAAAAAGATTATCTGACGGGGGAGGCGCGAACCATATAGTTATATTTCTTATGAAATTCTGCTCAGGAGTTTGTTCACCGCCTTTAGTAGAAACGAAGGAACGATGGTGAAAAAAAAGGCCGGTGGGCGGGCCGAAGCGCAGCACGTGGTCATAGGGAATTTCTGCCGCTCCTCTCTCGAGCTAGACGATGCTATCAAAAGAACCTTGCAGCATTCTGGCAGCTTTTCTTGAATGATGCTTTGCAAACTCACCCGTAATAATAAATATGAATTTAATCGAAATGTTTGTAGAGATAAATGCCTTTATAATGAAAAAGCACAATGCATTAAAAGGATTATTCTGGACCAAGCGTTTCAAGGCCTGACTAACCAGAGGTTGATTTTAAGGGCACAAACAGATCAATGTGTGGAGCTGGCTTTCCACAGCACCAGGCACAACAGGTATGGGAACAAGTCATTCCTTGGCAAGTCTTGAGTCAAAGATTGCAGTCCGAGACAAGTCTTGCATTTGCCCTCAAGTCCAAGTCGAGTCCAAGTCTTTCCATCATTTTGCAGAGTGCAATCACAAGTAATCAAATTTATGACTTACGTCTGAGTCCCCACCTCTGAGGTACAAACTATCCAAACATTTACACACGACATGATTATGAGTGATCTTAATCTTTTTTTAGTTATTAAATGGCCTATATTTGCATCCCTGTTAAACCAAAGTACAGTAGTTCTGATGGCAGCACTGCCGCCTCTGCCTACTCCCTGACTGGGATGGAAGACGGATGGCTGGGAGTTTAAATTTTAGAAAATAGACTGTTGAGTATCTGGTCTTATAGTTTATGACATAGGGCAGGGGTGCCCCACTCCAGTCCTGGAGGGCTGGAGCCCTGCACATCTTTGGGTTTCCCCTCATTTAACACACCTGATTGAATTCCTTGTGCTAATTACCACATAGCTGTTGAGCTGAATCATTTATGGTGGAACAGGGAAAGAACTAAGCTACACAGGGCTCCGGCCCTCCAGGACTGCAGTTGGGCAGCCCTGACATAGGGCCTGCATATTGTGCAATGCACATTAAAGAACATAGAGCATCACGAGTGCTTTCACCTCTGACAGAACCGACCGCTACACTTTGAACAATATTAGATAACAGGCTGAAAATCCCTGACTTTTAAATCCACTTCCCCTTTTATATTGTCCGCACTGATAGAGAAAAACATACACTTACAATAAATCACGTGACTGGACGGTGCAAAATCAATTATATATTTACATGATCTATGTAACAGTTTAATTGAAATTAGTTTAGAAGTCCATAAAGTTACGTTTAGAGTCCACATTTTCCCTGATAAACAAGGTATTCTGCATTATATTTATATGTCATATCCAGAGGAAGATATATGAGTTGTACACGTGCTCAGAAAGCACGCTTGTCTAGAGCGTATTTATTCTTCTTCACGTGAACATGTATACCTCTTATCCCGACTCGGCCGTTTTCCTGTCCTGCAAATGTAGATATTTAACGGAAATTGCCGACTGCAGGAAGCGTGCCTCCAAACCCCAGTCTTAATCTTGGTTACTCACTCGTCGTTTAGTAAAGAACAAACTCAGAAGCTTCGAGTTGTAACTTTTAAAAGCATCCCTAATTAGTCGGATGGCACCCCGATCCGATCCATTCAATATTTATATCTGCCGATTCCGATCATTTAATGCATATTTAAATATACATACACATACAGTCGCTACATTCTTCTCCCGATTTCGCAGTATTACTTGTGATGTTTCTACAAGTGCCTAATTAGATTTATTGTATTAAACGACACTCAGTTGCTACCTCCTCTCGAAAGGATGACATTGTACCTTTACTTGTCACTGGGGTTGTACCCTCAACGTTCTGCCAGTTGTAGCCTTAGATGTAGGTAATTGCACCTTTTAAGGTAATTGGTGATACATTAATACTGCTTGTACATTTGGGATGTTATCAAAGTCAATTTCTGTACCTTAAAAGGTGCAATAACAAGGGTACAGCCCCAGTGACAAGCAAATCATATTGACATAATACGGCGATTCTCACAGATGTGCTAGAAAATTCGGAAATTAGCACATAATACATCATGATGTACACCGTATGAACAATAAGCATCTCTTCGGTTTTACGTCACTGTCGCTCTCCAAACCCGGTGTTCTGTTGAGTTGAGCTACTTCGTCGAGTTAGGCTACCGTAGTGCTAATCGATAGCCCTAACCCTAACCCCAAAAAAACCCTAAAACCTAATCCTAATCCCAAAACTGTGGAACTGCACATGCGCAGGAAGGCTCGATAGTACGTCTTGATAGGTACCATTGGTCAACAGAACACCGGCTCGGTTCCTGTATGTCAGTGGAAAAGTTCTATAAGTAGGAGGGAGAGGCAGGTGGGAGCTCATGCATGGGGGGGGGGGTCCCGGAACGTCAGCACTCCAAATTCATATACGAGTGTGAAGCTATAGTGACAGCACCGACAGTTCAGTTCATCCAAAGTCACCCAGCTCTACACCTCACACTCAGTGCTTGAAGTGGGCCGGAACGCATGCGGAACGCAGTTCCGGAACTTCTGTATTTTCGTCTTTTGGGTTCCGCTACTTATTTCTGCGTTCCGGTACTTACTGAAACTGATCCGACGCAGCGACAGTGGCCCGACAATAGACAATATCACAAGACCGATAAAAGACTACATTACCCATGAGCCACGACAGTGCCGTATCATATGCATCCACTGAGTCCCAACCAATCGCATCAGCTTTAGCCCTAGTCTATTGTTAGGCCTACAAGTATCACACTGGTCTGGTTCATGTTGTTTTAATGGTTTTTCAGTATTCCATTTGTGAATTAGAAAAAAGTAGCCTATGCCTATAGGTTATTGCTTGGAAGAATGATTAAATTAAAATAGTTTTTGAACCAACACACCCTAAAGACTTGATTTTTTTTCCACCGCACAAATGTCAAATGTCGGAAAATTAGAGTTCCTGCACTTATTTTTTCCCACTTCAAGCACTGCTCACACTATATGTCTATCTAGGAGTAAGCGGACACTTAGAGCTAGAGCTAGAACTAGAGTCCCTATAAGCTAGAGTAAACAAGTGTGTTTTTAGCACATTTGCCGGAAGACCATTCCAGAGCTGCAGAGCACTGTAAGACAACGCTCTGCAGTCTGCTGTAGTTCTTTCTACTCTAGGTACTAATAGATATCCTGTTGCTTGGGTTGTAGCATCTCTAAAATATTCTGGTGCAAGACCATTCAGTGCTTTATAAATTAATAGCATTATCTAAGATTGTCCAGTGTCAGTGTGTCATGCCCACACGGGCGGGACCAAGCACCTGCAGACAATTGTCGGCTAATCTTAATCACTTCTTAAGCTGGCGAGACCAGAGGCTCGGTGCCAAGTATTGTTGCCATTATTCTAATGTACCTTACTAAGCAATTCTGTCTTTTGTTCTCCCCGATTGCCCTACTTGCTGTGTCCTGCCCTGCCTGTCATGCCTGCCCCATCGACCTGCCTTCTCCTGCCTACCCTGTCTGCTTGCTCCGTCCTGCCCTGCTACCCCATCCGCTTCGTTCCTCCCTTCCCATCGTCGTCCTGTTCCATCTCTCCACGTAGGACTGACTTTCCCAGACACCAACTCCTTGTCTGCCCCCCGACTACGATTTTGGATTTACCCTTTGGCTGTGTTCCTTTCAGGATTACTTATTAAACCAGTTCACTACCGCATTACGGGGTCTGCCTCCTCTGTCATTGCTGGTCATAACACTGTGTGTCATGTCATGTCTGTGTGTGTACCACGTACAGGACTCACAGAATGTCATGGGACGCTTGCATAATTTTGTCATAACGTTGCTAATTTATTGGTTGCATAACAAAAATCAATTGACCAGCAATGCTTGACATATTTGCACATATTTTCCACGCAGGAACTTTCTTTTTGTGTCATAATTTTTTGTTTGTTTGACTGACTCATTCAATTCTGACCTTGCCATTGTGCTATTAATCACAATTGTCATCACTGACTAATCGATATCTCTGACCTAATCTAAAGACAAATGTTTCATGTTTTATGTTATTGCAAAGCACCCAATGAGTAAATGTCAATGAACTTCTTAACTTTCAGAACTATAATTTGGGTTTCAGTTTATTACTACCTGAAATTAATGTTTTATTTTGATAGATATTTTAAATCATTTGATAGATATTTCATTCATTTAAACAAATGAATGAAATGATTTTTGTTATAAAACCAGTACATTTGCAATATTGTTACTGAATTTCGTAAGCACCCAAAGACTTTCTGTGAGCACTGTAACAAACGAAGACGTGATATATTTTATTCAGCAAATGAAAAGCATGAGTTTCCCCAAAGCTGCAGGCAAACTTCACAGCGCGTGGGGTAACCAGCTGGAACCGGACATGGGCATATCGGAACTATGGAACTTAGTTGAAGGTTATCCAAGTAAACATTACACCACCTGCTGATGCCAACAATGCTGCACGAACCTCTCTGTTGTTTCTCTGTATTTAATGTATTCAAATTGCCCTCCAAGCACTTTCTGGAACTATCTGAAGTCTACATGTACTACGTGACGATCAAGCATTTTGAACTTCCATTGGCGCGACTCTTTCGACATGGGTCTGGGTACCTACACGTACGTGGCGGTCAACTCAAAATGCGCCATTCTGGATGGACACTGACTTAGCAAGCCAATTTAACTTCGGATAGTATACGCTGGCTTCCTAGTGCTGGATTTGCTTACAAGAAGATTCCTATAACCGGGTGACAGTTGATCTTGTTTTTATTATCGTCATTATTTTTTTCCTTATATTTTTTTACAAGATACATTTTAAAATAAAAAGTGCATACATTTTTTTAGATGTTTTGGGAAAAATGAGTGTGCATACAAATGTGGTTTTACATTCAGATCTAATGGAGAGGATTGTTGTGCTGTTTAACAAACGGCCATGAGCTTGCTTGCTCTCTCTCTCTCTCTCTCACACACACACACACACACACACACACACAGAGAAAATTTAACACTCAGTATTATCTTCTAGTATTCCTGGACGTTAAAACATTTAGAACCAACTTCAGCCCAGACCACAAAAAAGCTTTTAATTAAAAAAGGGGTTTTTAGAACAAAAATGCTTCAATGGACAATGACAAAAAGTGGAAAATGGACAATAACGAAAAAAAAAAATTGAACTTAACGTAATACTCACAATTGGATGCTATGGAGATACAGCAGAAGAGCAGGGATAAAATAAAACACTATGTACATCAATGTATTTCCATTCATGCGTGTATGCTATAAATTATATTAAATAATACAATAATTACAGTATTTAGAAACATTTACATGTCGATTCCTCACATAGCTGTCATCAGATGGCCTGTGTTCTGTTCAGCTGCAGCATCTGTCCTATTATCAGAATTATTATACGTCACAACCACATCTGGAAACCCTGTGCGTAAAATGACCCGCATTTCCACATATTTGAAACAGGATTTCTTATGATAGCATGTATGTTGGTTATCCAATAACATATACATGTAGTTCCAGCTTGGGGGGGGGGGACCCAACCAACTACACAATTAAAAATGATTATTAAAAGCAGCAGACCCAGTGATTGACATGATGATAATCCAGTCACTTGTTGCTGTGATTTCCCAGCTTGTGTGTCTTTTTATTAAGAAGCACTAACTCAGTGGAAATCACATCTTATAAAATGTGCTGTCATAACTTACCCATAATTCCTCACAGCTTCTTGGCAGACCAGTTGGCTGTTCGTAAGCTTCATCCCTACGTACTCTAGTATTATTTTTATCTTAATAAAAAAATCTTTAAAAATGGACATAATATTTAGATGCTGGCATTGCAGGACATGATTAGAGGCATCCTTATACTTTTTCTGAAAAAACCATCCCCTATCACACGTCGTTGTGGAACATGCTCCGGTCGATAAAGGGGACTGTAAGGCAGAGGAGCATACCACACACGGGGTGACGGGGGGGGAAGAATCTCATCCAGTGTCTCATCATTGACTCTCCAAATCCTGTGGGAGGGGGGTCACGTGCCGTTAAAACAGGCAGTGAGCACCCACCCACACACACACACACACACACACACACACACACGCCTGTCCTCTTCAGGAACCTGTGATCTGCATATCCCAGCTTCCAGCTGCAGCACCAAAGCTATGAGTGGATGCAAATGTCTCAGTCAGACAGGCACTGTAGTGGAGAAGCACCAGCCTCAGGTGGGGCCAAGAGTCCTCAGACACCACCACCCCACGACCACCACCCCACGACCACCGCCCCATTGTGCCGAAGGGGAGGATACTTCCTGTGGTCCACCATCTCTAGTGTCAAATGAATGAGTTTGTTTCCAGGGCAACAGTATGACAGCATTGCTGAACGCAGACAGGGGTGGTGGGAGGAAGTGATGTGGGTTTTGTTGGGGGGGGGGGGCATCCCTCCATGCATTTGGAAGGAGGTTGTAGGAAAGACGGGATCCAGCTGCCATCCGGCTGTCCTTGGAGGGGTCGTGGCTCTCAGACTCCATCTCCGCCCCCCTCATGGACGCTATCGGCCACGCTTCCGTTACTGGGCGGGGGCGCCTGCTCTGGTTCCCCCCCCGTCACGGCCACGCGGATCACTCTCAGCCAGCGCTGCTTCAGCTCGTCTGTCTCGGCGGCGAAGCTGTGGATGGACTTGGACTGGGTCAGTCGAAAGCTGATGGGGGGGTCCGGTGGACGGGGCGAGTCCTCCACCGTGTAGCCGAGTAGAGGGACGGTGGACTGTGCCTTCACGTCCTGTGTGAGGAGGGAGGGGGCAGTCCCAGGATTAGCGCAATAAAATAAAGACTAAAGCACATCAGCATGTGTAATATGTCAGTGACACCGCGGGACATGTGTGTGCTCACCTGCGGTGCCCTGTACAAGTAGAGCACCAGCGCCTCCTTCTGGGGAATGACACACCACATCTTCTGCCAGGGCTTGGACTTCTCGCTGTACTGCAGGAAGCCACACATGATGCTGCTCCCTGAGAACTGGGCTGCCTCGATCTGGTGAGTGTAGGGGATCACGCCATTAGAAGGGCTACCAGTGGATGCCCCGCCCACAGAGATCACATGCCCAAATCTGGCTCGCCTGATTGGCAACCCTAAAATTTACACCATTTAGACCATTATTAGGGCGTTTCAGTGCATTTGGTGTTGATCTCTTGCAGGGTGGCCTCTCTGACCTCCAGGATGCCCTTCTTCTTGGCCTCCGTCTGCTCCCCACCGTCTAGGTGCCCCAACAGGATGCGGTAGCAGTCCTTGCAGACTTTGTTGACCTTGCTCCCATCGTACTCCAGAGGGGCCTTATAGTCTGAGCACTTCCAGCAGACGACCTGGAAAGGAAATCAACCGGAGTCCCAATGAGACCCTTTCACAGTCACGTCAGCCAATCAGATGCAGGCCAAACCCCTCCCCAAGGCGTTTCACTCACAAAGCCGCAGGCCCTGCAGTGATGTCGCCGGCGCGTCAGCGCGTTGAACGCCTCCCTGCACTTCATGCACATGGTCACCTCGTTGTCACGGATCCAGCGGGGGGCACGCTTGCCCAACTCCGCCGCCTGACACACAAAACGTAGGAGCGCACGCACACGCACAGGTGAGTGAAAAGCATGCGAGCAAAAGATTAATCAAATAAATATATAAAACGTTAACACTGGCACGACGATGGAACCCGACTCACCGACACCTCATCCGTGTCTTTGGAGGCTGACTTGAACGTTTCGTTCTTTTGGTGGAAGATGTCAATGGTCTCTCTGAAAGCCTGAAAGAAAAATCCACGTAGGAAAACTGAGCCGCCACTTCCTGATAAATCATCTGAAATCTGAGCTATTAAACCAGACTGGCATGAAGAAACATGAACTGAAGGCATAACATTAAATGTTTACCTGTAACCAGTCCTGTCTGTCCTGCTCAGAGCTAAACACAAATTAGAAGATACATTAATGTGGGCTTTACTGAATAATCGCCAAGCAACTTCCTACACGACAAGCAGCCATCAACTTACCTGGCTTGGAGTTCTAAGGTCCTCTCTTTGCCGGACACCTGGAAGGTGTGGGGGTAATCCTCGTTAAACGTCTCCTTCACATCCATGCCGTCAATGCCGATCCGCGTGCGGACGGTGTACTTCTGTCCCATCAGGCTGAATTTCGGCACACAGTAGAGCAGCATGTTGTTGAACTGGAACGCAAAAACCATGGTGCTTAGAGACCGCTGCAGCAAAATTATATATATATTCACTTTAAAGCATAATACTCAATGGCTCTTACCAGAAAAAGGTACCTCTCCATAGCTGAGGTATTCCTGGCAGCCAGCTTGAGGATGTGACCTTCCTTAATGAACTCGTTGGTGGCGTTGACGATGTCTTCCTCCTCTCCCAGCATCACATAAATCTCTAGAAGCTTCTTCAGGTTGTCCTACAAGACGACCGTAAATGACAGCAGTGATTTATTACACTGTATCAGTGTTTCCCAGTCGGGTCCTCGGGGACCCGCAGACAGTCCACGTTTTTGCTCCCTCCCAGCTCGCTGCCAGACAGTCCACGTTTTTGCTCCCTCCCAGCTCGCTGCCAGACAATCCACGTTTTTGCTCCCTCCCAGCTCCCTGCCAGACAGTCCAC